TGTCTGCATCATTCCAACTGATTGTGTCACTGAGTGCATCAATACTACCGATCAAAACACCTTGAAGAGTATCCTGAAAATTGGTAGCGGGGCCCAACTTCAGATACATCCGAGAGAGAACGATCAGGCGGAAAGTGAGATATGTGATTGAAGTCGGCAGTACATCCAGGGCGAGAGGACGGCCAAGGAGCCCTTGGACAGTAGCAAGCAATTCCGTCTTGTGCTTCGGGTCGTGGGAGCTTCTGAAAATTCCATACAGTAGCTCGCTGTAGTTGTCGACCGCACGAGTAACAGTGTAGTCGGGGGATGAGTCTGTGATGGGGTACGGATAGCCTGTTGAACCACTGTCGAGAACCTCATCCAAAGCTAGCCTTGCTGCCTCGATGTCCCCCGTAACATGCTGATAGAGCAGCGAAAGATCGATTCGTAGCGGTGCAGCTGCATTGACGTTTTCCAAGTACTGAATGGAGTCCAGGTATAACTGGAGGACGAAATCAACTTCTCCGGACTGGAGGGCAGCTTTACGGAGCAATCGTGATCTATCGTCGTGGTAGTCGTCGTATTCCCAGCAGAGCCAGGTCAGTCGCTGTAGCGGGCTCCAACTCTTCAAAACACCGATGAAACCCTGCTTACTATCCTCCTCCGAGAATAGATCAAGTTCTTCGTTTAAAATTTCCCCAGTCATAAGGGTTGTCGGATCGATAGATCTTGCGTGAGCGTAAGAGATCGCGGCTGCTTCATTCATCTCCAGCTTTGCCTCGATCCTCGCCTTGGTGATACACACTGTGCGGCGCAAAGATAACGGAACAGTTTCGTCGTTCATCTTTCCGAAACACTCGAGAATATCTCGATGGCTGGCCTGGGCATCATTCTCCAAACGGATTCGGGACATAAGCTCTCTAGTTCTGACGATGTCGAGAGTGCCATTGAGGCCATCCAGGGCATTTTGACACAAGGTCTCTGCAGGCTTCAAGTATTTGAAGTGTAACATGAGAGAAGCAAGTGCACGGTATCCTACGGGTTCAATCTTTATGTCTTCAAAGAGACCTTCGATACCTAGGACACCTTGCTTCTCGTTCAGAGATTCTCCCATGCTTCCGATCTCATGTTCGTAGTTTTTCTTGGCTTGCTGCAAAAGAGTAGGTTCCAAGTTGCTCTACTCGGGTCAGTAGGCATCGTGAGAAAGAAAAGGTGGAACTTACGGTCTTGATGGCATCCCTCGCTCTTCGGTAAGAAGCCAAGGCAGTGTCGACACTGAGGGAAATGTAAATTTGCCGCAAGTGAGCCTTCACGAGAGACATCAAACAATTCTGCGGGTTTTCTGAGACGTTCTCCCACCACTCAACCGCATCCTTGCTTAGTTGCTCTTTGTAGACGCTGAGGAGTTGACTCCATCTTGAGATTTTCTCGAAAACTTCGTCGGTGAATGTGCTCGAGTAGCTGGATCCAGTCCATTCCATCATCCGAGAGAACGACTTTTTGTTCGCCAAAGTGGAAGCCAGCGCCTCCATGACCTCAATTTGTTCCTCAGCTGTATGACTTTCAAAGTCAATGCGAAACCAGTGTGATACAATGTGAACCACTGCATAACGACTGAGAGCACTGGAAATTGGGAATGGGTAGTGGCCTGTAGTGCAGGCAAGCTTGGTGCAGTCTAGAAACATCTGCCGATGAATCTCCGAGGGCCTTATGCGGTGGGCGTGGATGTCGGTCTTGTCAGGTTCTTCAATAAAAAACGATCGCATCGAGCGCTCCTTGAATTTCACAGGCAGCTCACCGTCATTGTAGATGGCCTCGTGGTCGACAGCTGTCTGCGTCTTTTCCAACTCGCTTACAGCCGTGCCCCATCCGCCCTGAGCCTGGATCTTGACACGTTCTTCCGCATCAGACCCAGGATCACCAACCTGGAGAAAGCTCTCGAATGGCTCAGGAACCTTTTCAATGTCAAAGTTGACATCGTTCACCCACAATCGTACCAGTGAAACTACCTCGTTGAATGTCAATGGTCGGAAAGCGAAGGCTAGCCAGTGAAGGAGCTTAGACACAATGGGCTTGTGCTCGAGCTCAGTTCGACGGTAGCAGTCAGTCAACAAGCCTTCATAGATCCCATGAAGTCCAGAAGGCAATGGCTTTTCCAGGTTGCGAATAACAGCGCCTTCGCGTCCTAGGTTGTCAAAACGCGCAAGCATATGCGCAGCGTACAAAAAGTCTAGGTCATTAGTATGCCACGGTACATGTCGGTCGAATGAAAACCTTACTTGGGGCTACCTCCTCGACTTTGTCGGCAATACGTTGTTGGACGTAGCGATCGAACTTTCTCATGGTAGATAAGGAATTGATGTGACTCCAGATAAACGCCCTCAGGTCTTCCTTCTGGTTTTCCCTCGTGACATTGACTGCGAGCACGGATGATGATTCTTTAACAATGGAAAGAATCCCTGGTCTAGAAGTGAAAGCCACAGTGATCCTTAGATTCTCCTCGCGTATCACTTTGAGAAAACTAAGAAACTCGGTGAGATCATCGAGCTCATCAAGCCCGTCTAAGAGCAGAAGCAACTTGAACTTGGAAGCTTTACCAAAGGCAGGAACCAAGATCTGACGAATGAGCGATTCGGCGACATACGAATTCATGTCGAAGCCATCCTTGATTACCTCTGCATTGACCAGCTCACAGAGCGAAGCGTTCTGTTCGACAGTTTGAATGATGACAGTCGTGATGGCGTTGCAGAAGTTTGAGAGACTGGACGATTGTTCCCGGAAGTAGAAATGCGCGGCACAAGTAAGCTTCGAGGTGTCGTTCATGGCTTCACCAAGCAGCCTTTCGTAGACTGTGAGCCCGATGTGACTTTTACCAGAGCCAGGTTCGCCGGTGATGGCCAGAGTTAAGTGGTCGGCTTGGCCCTGCTTCAGCCACTCGTCCCATGCGGGCTGCAAAAAGACCCAAGTGCAGGTGTCCTTAACAAGCGTTTCCTTCAAGACGAGGTACTCATGGCCGTCCCCCTCTACCTCAACTAGAATGTTGCGGATCCTCTTTGCGGATGGAGGCTTATTTTGCTCTACCGCCTTGGCACGTTGGTCATGGCCACGGTCCTTCTTTTCTTCGCGTTTTTGGTCATTGAAGGCTTTCAGCAACTTCGCCATGTCACTTTGGATCATCTCGGTGGTGTCACGAATCGAGTTCATGACCTGCATCTGCTTCTCCAGCATTGCAGTATGTGTTTCTTGGTTGGTCAACAACTCTGTGCTCATCTTTTGGATCTCTTCCGTATTGCCAAGGATTGCAAACTCTGTCGCTTGCTGGAGACGTCGAATCTTGAGATCCATGCCTTTACGAGCGCCGCCTAACTCGGTATCCTCGCCGTGAAGAAGGTTGCTGATCCACTTCTCTAGTAAAAGATTAGAAAACTCGAACGAGTGATCAATGTTGTTTGCATTTTGTTCCTTGACTCACTGAAACGGCCTAGCTCAATGAACTTGTGGGCAAAGCCACACATGACTAGGAAAGACGTGAAAACATCCATGAGACAGTTTTGATAACCCTTATGTTTCGGGAGTCGGGTCTCAAGAATCGTGATACGCTGCAAAAAGCTGTTCATGTCTTCAAAGAACACCATCACGATGTCATAGTCTGCCGAGACTTGGCGGCATGCCTGGATTCGAATGAGCGTGTACACGACATCGAGTGACGAAGAGCACCACTCACGCTTAGCATTATGGTGACCGCAGTCCCAATAGCTGCAGCTGGAGGGAAAGCTGGAACGGCTGCCGAGACGAGCTGCTGTGCGCCCTTTTCGATATAATCGAGATTGGCAGCAAACAGGCTTCGCAGTTTGTCTACTTTCTTGTCGTTATGGCGAAACTTGTGAAAGTTTTCCATTTCGTGGGTGCCTTGATCAATCATCGCCTGAACGCTATCGAACTTACGCTCCAGGTCGAACCCTACGATTCCTTTGTAGGCTTTGAGGGCCTCTTTCCATAGGTCGGAAACATCGCGATTGTCGTTCTTCACCGCCTCCGACACCTCCTTTTGGGCGGCGCTGGCTGTCATTGGTAAATCTGCTTTCAGCACAGGTCTTCGTTGCGCATTTGGCGAAGATGGAAGATTCTGCTGAATTGAGGACAGGGATTCACGCCGTATTTGTAGATGGTTTTCATTCGGGTCTTGAGTCGAACCACTGATAGGGAGGTAATGAAGTTGGGGGCGGTTTTGAAGCTAGACAGGGCAAGTAGCGCTTGGTCGGCAATTAGTTGCGAGATGGCGCGCTGATGGTGGCTCACGGATATGCAGCCCATGCTGACATGCAGCATCAGCTGAAGCCCAGAGGTCACACCGTCGCCAATCCTTTCACCAAGTGACGCTTATTCAAGAAATATCGTTGTCTGACACAACCTAGCCAAATGGCGTATCCAGGTACGACTTGCCGTTCACAGCAGCCCTACATCAACTTTGTTTACCCTAAATTGAGACTGATGAACACAAAAAGACTGTCGGCCCCCCAAGCACCAAAGCACATAAAGACACTACGTGGGTGATTTGCAATAAATACTAGATACATTCTACCGTGGGTAAGCAACATCTTCTCCAGTGTCAAGTTCATGGTCATGGGAACCTTTCTGCGAGCCTATCCAGTTTTCGGGCGAGTCTTTGCTCCGCTACTGAAAGCAGAAATGGAGAAACACACAAAATATTCCAACGACAGAGTAGATCGCTGCCTGCAATATGACAAGGACAGAGGGGATATCTGGAGACTTGTTCAATGAAACGCGGACCTCAACAATATCTTCCGAGAGGAGATGTACGCCAACGCCCAAATATTCATGATTGCTGGGACCGAGACGACAGCTACGTTGTTGAGTGGGCTCACGTTTCTTCTATGTCGGAACGCCGACAAATTGAGGATTTTTATAAAGAGATCCGGTCGCTCCATCTTCAGGACCTGAACATCATCAACCTGCAACGGCTTTCTTATCTCAACACGTGTCTAGAAGAGGGGCTTCGCATGTATCCCCCGGCTCCGGGTGTAGTGCCTTGTGTGGCTCCTCAAGAAGGGTCAACTGTCTGCGGGCAATTCGTCCCAGAAGGAGTAAGAAGCCACATACTCTCTGATCCTCGCTGGTCATTATCACTAATATAATTATAGAGTATAGACGGCTACAAGCGTCGCTCAGTACGCAGATTACACTCCGGCCTACAATTTTGCTAATCCGCATGATTTTGTGCCCGAACGTTGGTTGGGTGAACCGCCCGAGAAGTACGCAAAGGACAACAAGGAGGTTGTTCAACCCTTTTCGTATGGGCTGAGAAGGTGCATTGGCAAGAAGTACGTATCTTCCAAGTTTTTGATTATCAACCCTGTCGTGATCCTTTGGCGAATTTGGGGGTCTAGCGTTGACTCTTTCTTAGTCTTACCTATCACGAGATGCGTCTCATTTTAGCCATAGTGCTGTGGAAGTTCGACATTGAGCTTGCGGATAAGAACTCGAATTAGATCGATCAGAAGTCTTTTGGTATCTGGAAGAAGCCTCCCCTGGGTGTTCATCTTTGTTCTCGTGAAGACCGTATGTAGGCTGTCAGCTTGGCGACAAGATGACAGTCTATTGGTCTCATTCGATTCGACGCAGATGCTACAGCAGTGGATTGACTCATCGTTCTCTGTTGTTCTTATTATCATTTTCATAGATAGGACAAGAATCAGCTAGAAAGGCTACGAAACACCTCAGCCCGAAGATGACCGCTTGCCTTCGTATTCTTTCAACCACTTCAGGACTTCTATGACGTTTTGATCCGGGGGAAACATGGGATACCAGTGTCTGATAATCTTACCACCCTCAACAGCCAGGGTGACCCGCTTGATCAGCTTTCGCTGTTTCCAATCAAAGGTAGGGAGTCTTGCAGCGGTCGCGAACTTCAAATTGGCGTCGCTCAAGAGATCATAAGGCAAATGGACCCTCTCTCGAAGCTCTTTCTGGGCTTCTGAACTCTGAGCAGACACGCCAAAGACCTGAGCTACCCCAAGGCCTTTCAGCGCCTCAAAGTTGTCTCGGTACGAGCAGGCCTGTGGCGTGCAGCCTCTGGCACCTGGGATACTGTTCCACTCGGGAGGAACTTCTTCCCCTGGTTCTGCAGTTCGTGGATAAATAAAGACAATGGTCAAACTATCCACTTGTGACAGGTCGACCTCCTTAGAGTCGTTTTTCGCCGAGGGAAGTGGAACGCTTGGCAGATTGAAACCCGTAAGGTGGTCGCACGACCCGTCGTCCTCAGGTCTGGGGAGGTCGAGGGGTAAGTCTGTACTTCTGTTACCAAAGTGCCTGTGATGCCATTGAAAAACGTTGATTCGAATCAAAATATTTGACTGCCTCTTCAATCATATGTTTCCTCTCATGGAGATTCTGCCCCTTGTGCTATCATGTTGGGTTCAGAGCTTATTCATAGGTGCAACTCAACTTACCACTCATGATTGGGGCGTGATTTCTGGAAACTGCAGACGCAAAACTGGGAGAGATCCACGAAGTTGCGGGGAGATTTTGGGGTTTAAGCTTGGGGTGTTGGTGAATCTAATAACCTTCGCGTGTGCTGACCCTATGACGACATGTCGTTCCTGTGACTACGCCAGTTTAGGTAGTCTGTGATACTATGGAGCTTATGCTTCCATTCACCCGCAAGTCACATCGAGAAAAGCACTAGCCTAACGAAACCGGATTTCGACGCTTGTATGTTCTTACTTGTTTTGTGAGTAACAGGACTCCGATTGCTTTACCCGGAGTGGGTCTTGAAAGATTACAACTCTGTGTGTTGATTCATTTTGTGAAATACTGCGCCTGTATATGTAAATTACATTATTGATTTTGAACCCCAAGAAGAAGAGGATAATACTTTGGCTGACTGAATTAGCTCCTTGTAAGCTGTGTAAATCAAATCTCTGAATCATTCTTGGGAATACACTTTGTAGCATGGTGGGAGTAAGTGAGGCGTTGGTTGACGTTAATTTGTATAGTCGAAAACTGATTGATGATTATTCATTCTTTAAATATCTATTATCTCATTAAGGCCAGGAGCTGAACTGGTCGTAGGCTCTCAATCCCAAGCCGCATGCGCAAAGACAGCAGCTAGTCGTTCAGTTAATGCTGATCATCTTGCAATTACGCCCCTCATCCCTTGCGGTCTTGTTGTCGGTGTAAGTCGTGTGACGCTGTCTAATCAATTGGCTGATAATACGTCATGACTGGTATGTCTAGTGCATCTGGGTTTGGTCTATCGTACCAGAATGGTATCGAAGGATACATCTTCTTCCATATTCTCCTATAGCAGTGTATGTAGAGCTCCTCACGATCTTCAAATCTTCTCTCGACCGCTCTACGCTCGATTCTTTCAGACTTGGCAAAGTAATTATCGGCATTGTCTTGGTCCCGGTCAATCGCGTCAAGTTTGCGCCGGGGAGAAAATCGGAAGATCCCCCAGCACCCAGCCTTGTTGTAATCGTCAATGGCAATCGTCCTTTTGTTGTCATACGCCCGTCGACTTTCGTTTCGACGCCGAAAGTGCATGGCTTTGATTTCATTCATCCGTTTTTCGTACGCGATGTGTACTTTTTGGAGACCCTTGCGTTGTTTAGTCTCCAGGGTTGATGGTGTTTCTTGCGAGGCAATGTCGGTTTCAGGTTCCGACCCTGAGGACGAGTCGGATGGAAGTTGTTCTTCGATTGGACTTTCTTGAACTACGCTTTCGTTCAAAGAAATCCGATGACTGACTTGTGTGAAAGATCTGGGCCGGCGCGGCACGATCAACGGACGAGCGGCGCTTCCGGTTCCTGGAAATGAAGACATGATGGACAACTGTGTTATGACGTGGAGTTATACAAGCTGGTGAATTTTGCTGGATTCTGGGGAAGATATTGTTGACCTGTAGGCGGTATTGACTTCTGTATATCCCGATGGCATATGCTTTCTCCGATATGCTGAATCTTCAAGTATGCCGAAACCTGTCTCCGGTGCTCATGACCCTCAATGACTGTGGCCTTAGACTGGACATTCGATTAGATCAAACCATAAAGACTTGTCGATATCAACAGCCTCATCAAGGTTCCGTAATGTATCATAAGCTACCGTTGGCGTGAGGGTTTCTTGATCAAGCACGGCTGAGGCGTGTTTGACATGTATTTTCACGCAAACAATTAAACTCTAGTGGAATACCTATGTTGTAAATCTGTAATACGAATAAAAAGTGCTAGTAAATTTATGGGACTCCTCTGGTATCTTAGTCACGATACTGCAATCTCAAAAGTATCGAGAGAAATCTGTTTGTTATACTTGATGTAATTGTGTGCTGTTGCGGAATTGGAGCATTATCGCCAACGCCAACATGACATGGAGTCATCAAATTTGATCAACGCAGATCACTTCAAAATTAACGTAAATATAAGGCGGTGGTTCAGTGATGTACTCTCTTCTTCCGCACGCATGAGGTATTATTGTTGGATTGGAAGTCCAATTCGACCTCGACGTAAGGGTGCCCGCGTAGGGGCCAATTACGGCCCCTACTTACGATTACCGCGGCCTGCCCAACCTACGGTTGAAACCTTCTTTTTACACCTACGCAGAAGATCATATAGTCCAATTGACCTCTTCGTCAACACACGGTTCGAACCAATTGACCTGCGATACGGATACCATCAGGTATCACTCATGGGGACTTTGTATAATGAGGGTTCAGTAAGGTAGACTGCAGAGTGTTTTATGCATGTGTCCAATTATAAACTTGACATCTAAGCTTGAGTAGAGGCAACAACTAACATAACATCGCCATCTGTTGCGTCTGAAGTCCTAGATTCCAGCTGCACCCGCGGAGCATCCAACCATCGTTCTGCCAATGGCTTGCCAGCACCAGGCCAACCCTTGTTTGCCGAGGCAGACAGCGCAAAGACAGACTCGACTAGGACCATTTCATATCCGGCATCTAGGCCACCGGCAGTAGCATGAGAAATGACCGGTATTAAGGTCCTAGAGCAGGCCAAGTTTGTGTTCGAATCAGGCTTCAGTGGAAAACTTTCTGATATCGTCTGGTGACTGCTCGGTGACTGTGAGACCACGCCGCTGGCGCCTGCGGAGGACAAGATCAAAGTGGAAAGCTCTTTCTGTAAAACGCCTTCGGCAGAGCCCAAGATGGCGTCTTTCGGAACCTCGGAGATGACAGGTAGAGGCAATCCGTCAGTCTGGCCGCCCTTTTTGCGGCCAGAGATCGCGAAGCCGCCCTCGATTGTGTGTAAAGTCTTAAGCTTCTCGTGCACTTTGATCTTGTGGACTCGAATATGCCAGTCCGGCCATCGGTCAGACGGTGGGATCAGCGTGGTGTCTATACTCACGGCTCTGTCGCCCCATGGATACCACTTGGCGCTCGCAGCTTGTACTTCCTGCGTGCTCGAAGCTGTCTTGATAAACGCAGTTGAGAAGCGCACTGGTTCAGACTTCCACTTCACTGCCCATGTCTCTCCACCATCGCGACTCAAAGCAAGGGTGTTGTCTGGAGCAATCTGCTGGATTAACGGCCCCGTCGGTACGGAGAACGTGAAAGCGGAGGAGTACGCAAACTTGCAGTACTTAGCCTGGTTAGCCTTCATAGGCCAAGCTACGAACTGTCCTGGCGAAAGGAGAAAGTGATGGTTGCTTCCAGGATGGTTGCACACAATCTGCTGAGGGGCTGGGACGAGCGCAACTGAGTCTGTTGTGGAAAGAGAGGGGTATGGCTCTTCATCTGCAGTCCAGAAGTCATCGTCTTCCGCAAGACCAACCGCAATGAGGGTCTTCAAACACCAGTACGGAGATTGAGGTGAGTTGTAGTCTTCGCACAGGTACATGTTTCTAAGCTGAGAATGAGCAAATATTCGTTTGAGGTGGCCGCGAACGGGCTGGGATATAGGGGCACTTACGGATATAACCATCCAATGTTCATGGTACCATCGGAATAGAAGACATCATTAGAGTTGTTTGCCCACCATCTGAGATGTCTCAGTAGGAAGCCTTTGATGGCCCCGGGGGTGTGGAGAGGCTTTGGCATATTGGGTACTTGTGCCAGAGCTAGAGCAGCGAAATATCCTCCGCAGGCGAATCGATAAGTTAAAGACCGGCCGAAAGGTATAGCAGAACCTAAAAGGTCTTAGCACATTGCATGGGTGGAGTGAAATCACCAGAAACATCTCACCTTCAGCGTCAAAGTAACGCCAGAAAGTGGCACCAAAGTCTCTTGCTCTCTGGCGGTACTTCTCTGCTCGTTCGGGATCGATATCCACAGCAAATCGAGAGTAGAGCAGCTGACTGAATTGAATCGCAAAGCTACCAGAGTAGTAGTCGGCCTGTCTTCCAATTCCAATCGCATCGCGTCTGCCAGTCTTCTCAAACTGCTCGAACTCATCCTGGGCCTGCTCTGGTGTTTGCCAAGGACCGTCTGCCGACCAACCATCAAATCGGTAGAAAGTGTCCAGGAGCGCCAAGTCTGAGTTTATCTCGTCGCGAACACTGTCATATGCCACCCCACATACTTTGAACAGAGCCAAGTTCGCAAAGACTCTGAACCAACGCCAGTTGTTCTTTGGCATTTCCATTCCATTCAAAGACCGGAGCCAGTTGGTGATGTTTTGTTTCGACTTTTCACTCAACGGCTTAAAAATGCGATCAGGCGCGGAAAGGAGGGCAAATGCTACAATTTCGGCCTCTACCATGCGCTGATCGGGGCCGAGAATTGGTCCCCAGTACTCAGGGTGCTCGGGATCGGTTCCTGTGACGAAGCCGTCGATCCATGGCTGGACTACTTCGGTGATTGCAGCGGACAGTGATGAATCTGAAGTGGCATCAGCTCCAAGGAGCAATGCGCCTACAGCCCATAGCGGCCGAGCAAAACCTTCTAGTTGGGCAGCTGTCTCATCAAAGTGCGTTGCCGAAGTCACCGGAATTCGGATCCGGCCCTTGGACGGAGAGAAGTGGGGTAAGAGGGGCCGGAGCAGCGCGAGGGTAGCTTGGACCAAGTCCGCCCTGGTTCGGAGAGGGTTGTTGGAGAATCCTGACAGGGGTGGCATTGTGAGAGATGTTCGCGAACACACAAGATGGCTTGTGCGGAATGGAAGTGCTCGGGTTATGTCTCGACACCCATCGGCTGGTCTTATTTCGTCTTGCGATGAATCTGAAGGCTATTGGTTCCACTGTGGCTTCCCCAGATGCGTCGGATACCGGGGTATCTGTCGGACAGCCTGCCGGCGTGCGTTTGATGCGTTAGCCAGAGAAGGCTGAGTCAAGATGTCGTAACCACGACACGGCAATCCCTTGAATAGTGTCATCAGACGAAAATTAAATAACGAATGAGCCAGTCAGTGTAGTCTCTGATGGCCTTTGTCTTGCCTTTACTGCGAGCTACTGCAATATTTTGCATGATGTGGTTTCCTTCATCTTGAGAGAACCAATGTCAAACCCGCGATTGGTAATAGTGAGCCTCTGTTCAAGATCGACAAGAAACGTCGAGTGCATTATTTCTCCCTCCTAATGTGTTTGGAAAAGTTTGCTATTGATGCGGTCGCTTGAAAGTAGTGAGGGCTTCCATCCTCATCACTCTTCTTTGGAACGCAGTCAAGCTCCGAAGCGATAAGTTTAGGCAGATACAGAACACTCTGCCTTTAGTATAATGATGATTTGAGATTCTCGCTCGATAGTTCGTCCCTCTGAGGACTGAATGGCCGCAATCACATTAGTCAGATTGATGACTCCCTCTTATGACGTGAGCCATCGGCACCTGAACATTTCTTGCAGCTCTTCGGAAGTTTGTGCATGTAACATGCTGCAGGTACCCGAAACTCTAGCGCTCGAGGGGCATATTTTGCTGGGTTTCTTCAATCATTGGCCCTAAAATCGTGTATGCTATCCACCATGTATGTTCAAACTATTGGGGGCGAGACTATTCAACATGGGTTCTGGTACATGAGAAGAGGAGCTGGGTCCATGCATTTAAGGTTGCTCACAAGAACAACATCATCTGCACGATGAGTTCACTGGTCTTTTGTTTGACAAGTTGTTCACATTGAGCTTTATGTATGGATGAGAAACATAGAGTTGGGCAGACACAAGCGCGACGAATCGAGCTCATCAACTGGCGAGAAGTAATCATCATAATCACTTCATCGTCGGTACGGACTTAGTGTGATTCGTGGACCAAGATGAGCAGCATCCTGTAGGTGATATTTGAGCAATGGTTGATATGAAAGATTGAGTACCTAAATGATGACGTACGCTATCTTCAGGACCACGTTAGCAAACACGTCAGCCCGTAAAGGTTCAGCTCTTGTTCCGTGAGCCAAAGAAATGCGAACACAACTAAGCCCTGGAGATTTTCGAATGCCTCCCAACGCTCAAACAAATCCTCTCAACTCTCGCTTTTCTTCATCGACCAAACCTCTCTTTACCCAGCTGTGACGAGATTGAAGTCGAGCCGAAATCATCCTTGCCCATTGTTCTTCATATGCTAAGTTAACTGCTTATGTTTAGACCAGTGGCCGCCGACTAGCCTTTGTGTGGTGCCGGGCATCGGCTCAAAGGAGCCCGCAAGCGCTAACGAAACGCTCTCCAGTTTCTCCGCACCAACCTCGTTCCACCAAACCGCCCACTTCGTGTTCCTCACTTGCTCATCCCTGTCCCAATATCCCCAGAGTGCGGGGGAAACTTCCCGCCTCCTCTCTGCTCGTCCGCTTATGGGAAGGTGAGTTGTTATGGTCAGCGGAGGACTGAGTTCAAGCGCCAGAAGAGCTTAGTGTAAAGAATCGATGCCGTTGCCCCAAATCCCTCGGTCAAATCGAACCGAGAGCACCCCGGACGGTTCCCCTCTCCACAGCCACCCCCAACTTTCCCACCTCATAAACACAGGAATCCTCTTTTGATCCCCTCTTGCATCGTCGCGTCGCACGATTCCATGGCCGACGATTGCCACGTAACCGACGTTGAGAGGAGCCACACGCAGAAACGCCCGCGCCGCTCGCACAAACGCCCTTGCCACTCGCACAAACGCCCTTGTCTGCGGCGTTCATCGGGTCTTTGACTCTCGGTCTCCCGCCGATCGGACCGGGCTCTCTCCGGGGCGCCGCCACCACCGCTGCCGTGAGCCTGCTGTTGGGCGCCGATCGCTCAGGCCGATATGGATCTGACCGCACCGGCGCCGGCTTCGGGTTCGCAGCCCCCTGATGGCTCTGATGGCGACATCCCATCTTGTCAGGGCTGTCGGCGCCGCAAGCTCCGGTGTTCCCGCGACCAGCCGATATGTTCGCACTGCAAACGGTTGGGTAAGGTTCCTGGATGCCGCACTCAAGTCGATCATGGATCTAGAAAGGCATACTGACCGAACAGACTCGCCATGTGTGTACGATTTGAAGAAGAATAAGCCGGGTGTCAAACCCGGAGCGGTTGAGAGCCTGAATCGCCGAGTGGGTAAGTCTCACCCGAATCGGAAACCCTGTCAGTCGAGTCAAACATTGACTGTCATGAAGAGGTTTTGGAAAATGCTCTATTGCAAAAGTCCAGTGACGGTTTTTACCCGACCTCAAATGGCAACGGCAACATAGAGTCGCACAGCGCGCCGGCCGAGTCCCAGAACGTGGTCGGAATCCTCTCTTTGCTGGCGCGTGAGCTACACAAGCTCAATTCGAAGACCAAACCTGGCTCTCAAGCCGGCACACCTGAAGGGGCAGCTGAGCATGCCGTGTTCTCTCCAACAACGTCCAGCTCTTCCAGGCGAAACACCATCGACGGAGTCGAAATTGTCTCACATCCTCACAACCAACCAAGAAAGCGTCGGAGGGTCGATAGCTGCGGCAACCCCAACATCGATCTGGCCTTCCCCTTGGAAGACCTGGAGAACATCACAACAAGCCTGCCACCACCAGAACTTTTGGAAGACATCATCAATATCCATTTCAACATCATCCAGCCCTGGATTCCAATCCTTCACGAGACGCAGTTTCGTAGGCGGGTGCACGACCCGGAACAGCTGCCCCGCTTGGTGGTCGTTCTCCATGCCATGGTAGTGGCAGCTCTTCGATTCGTTGACAACTCAGAAATCCGACTCTCGGCGCTTGAAGTTGAACGACGGACATCGCGGTCAAGAAACATCGTCATACTTAACGCAATGGATCACCTTTCGGTCGAGAATCTGCAAGCGCTGGTTATTCTAGCCTTCAACGATGTGAGTGCTTCCCAAAACACCTCGTCGAGGTGATCTCAATCAACATTACTAACATGGCCAAGATCGGAAACGGAGATGCGTCAAAGGCTTGGTCAATAGTTGGATCTCTCACAAGGACTGTCGAATACCTCCAAATGAGTATCGAAGCCGATCACCAAGACAAAGAACCTCTTCTGAAGCCGTTACCTTCAATACCGCCACCCCAGAACTGGACCGAAGAAGAAGAACGGCGGCGAGTCTTTTGGAATATCTTCAACCTCGATAGGTGAGCCAGACTGATTCAGAACTTCTGTTGCTGTGATACTAAACCCACCTTTCCAGATTTTGTTCCGTCACAACGGGGTAAGGCCTTGCATGAGTGCATGTAGAGCTGAGAGGCAGAATAATCGAACTGACTTCCGTAGATGGAATACCAGTTTAACGTCTGATGATGTCTATCGTAGACTTCCAGCCGACGGTGGTCTTTGGCATAAGGAAGAGTCAGTGATTACTCCCTTCTTCGGTATCTGGGATCGGTCGGCCGCCAAGATGGGTAACTCCATTGCCTTCTTACCAGCGCACTATCCTAGTCCGGAGCAGACGGCCGACGCACCACCGCAAACCCCCATCACCGCTCACCCTCGCAAAGGTCCCAATACGGTCGACATGACCACAGTCGGGGCGTTTGCATACTGCATAGAAGCGACTGAGTCTCTTAGTAGAGTCACGACGTACTTTCTTCAACAGAAGATCAACTTCCTGGATAGACAGGAAGTTAGCAGCTGGCTTACTCGGTTCAAAGAGTTAGATCTGCGTCTAGTGCAGTACGTCTGAAGCCGCGCCTTCGAGAGCTCATCATGCTGACAAGACTTTAGCTGGAAAATGTTCCTGCCTCAGAAGTGGAAGGACTCCAACATCTCTCGCCAACCCGCTCTCATCAACATGGACCCTAACCTCACGCTCGCACACATTACTCACAACACTTCAATGATTCTCCTCCACCAACGCATAGCTTATCCAGAGCCTCGATGGTCTAACATAGTGAAGCTCCCTAGCTTCTGTAGCGCCGAAACTTGTCAGGAGGCCGCAGTCGAGACGACAACCATTACTGAGAAGTACTTGAAGTACACCCCCGAAAACAGCCCGGCTACCAGTCAATTCGCTTTTTGCGTCTTCATCAGCGCTAGAGTACTCCTCGGTAAGTGAATGTGAACCTGTAACGAATACGATTGTGTCCTAACGCTCCCCAGTCCATTGGCGGTACTACGACGCTGAGCTTGCTCCGGAATTCTGGACTCTGGTTGAGAGCATGGAAGAAATGGCCAAGCGCTGGGTCGGGCCCATCCTCAAAGAAAAGCACGCCCAGTGTCTCGCTGGCAAATACGCTGCGCAGCTCCGCGACCTCCATCGCAAGTGCCAAGCAGATCCTCAATTCACTGTCGATGTCTTGGGATACTCAAGCGGTGTCACCGGTCAAGGGTGCAGTCCTGCTGCTCAGACGCCAGCTTTCAGCCACCAGCAGGGCAATGCCTTGTTTGCTCAAAGCTCCAACAGGATGGCGCCGCCCGTTTCAAGTCCATTGGCACCGAGCCAGACGACAGGACTATCGCAATCTCGGCCGCCGCCCATCTTCCCAAATCAGCAGCCGCAGGGCCAGATGAGGCAGGGGTCGATGATGGGTCCTATGGGATCTCCCATGCCGATGACTGGGTTCACCCCAAGAGATTCGGATGCGCCCGATGAGCTTTCTGCCATCTCGCATATGCTGATGGATCAAAGATTCATGGAAATGGACAGGATCATCAGTTTCGATGATATGATGTTCACGGCACAAACGGCGAACAATGGTAATGCGTCCATGCCAGTCAACGGCTGGGG